CACTAGACCTAAAAATTTAAAGTTTTAATAAGTTACACGAATAATATAATTTCACAAGATAATTGAGTATATATTTTTTAATTCATTCCAAATTTTATTATCTAAATTAGTATGTTTAGACATGAATAAATTAATTATTGTATGATCTAAATAGACAACAAAAGACTATACCATGTAGTTAGGAAGTTAGGGTAATTTAATATATCTTCTACAAAGTCAATGCTGTCTATTATATTGCTTTGTCAAACTTAAGTACTCAACTGAGTAAGACGTACATCTTACACCAAAAGATCGTGGGTTCGAATTTCTACAGCCCCACATGTTGTAGTAATAAGAAAAATTATTTTGATTAGAATCAACAAAAAAGTGATGATGATAAAGGCGACCATAAGCAACTTGGATCAATAACATTGCTTCTTCAATAAAAAACAGACGTCATTTTCACTTTCGGACTCAGTGCTCTCTCAATATTCCCTCTCTCTCCTTACCTTATCCTAAGATGAAAGCGTACAACTTTGTCCCCCAAACAAATGATCCTAAATGTTATGGTCTTGTTAGATCCATTTAACTTTGTGTGATATGTTTTGTCGTGTTTAAGGGTTTCAAGAACACCGATAGCTCCAAAACGAGTTGCTTGGTTGGATTGCCACCAAATGCCCTTGTTTTATGGGGTTACTATGTAAAAAAATGAAGCATTTCCCACAAATATTGGTCCGAAAAGAAGCCATGTCCTAGAAACCCTTCAAACTTCAAACTTGGCCCTCCCTTCACACCCACTCACCCCTTTTGGAGCCTGTTTTCTTTGGGACATAGCATGTGCTAATCATCATCCATATTCTTTCTACACCATTCAACTTCAAAACCAACAACTATAGACATTCTTATTCTCAATTTGTGAAGACAATGGATGGAGCTCAATTTCAAATCATTTATTTTTATTGATGTAATTATGATTTAGGTTGAAATGTGTCCATATTCATACTCCCAATATTGAATTATATATATTGAGTTCAACGAGTTGAGGTATATAACTATTTCGTGAATATTCCTACAGTTTGCTAATTAGCTAATAATGATATACTTGTTGTACGTGTGTAGTTAATTTTGACATATATATACTTGATAAATGTGACAAATATATATAGTGGAGGGGAAACAACAATGTAGGAGTTCGAACATAGGACTTCCCACTTTAATATTATGTTAAGGATTAAACCTTAAGCTGATGAGTTAAATAAATTTAATTCATATATTGAATATCTAACATTATTTGTAATTACCTTTCAAAAATCAAAAGATTTCTCATGACAATCAATTAGAGAGTGGTGGTTTGTCCATCCTTAACATGATATCAGGAGTATGAGGCATTTTGTTTAAACGCTTGCATTATTGTTTCCCTTTCTATTTATTATGATTTCCACCTGTTGGATGTTATTGAAATTTTACCCATTGAGTGAACACAGTTTTAGGGGAGGAATTCTCTCAAATATTATTTGTTTTGAGCGAAAGATTCGTAATAATAGATGGCCCGAGGAAGAGAAGAGTGGGAGAAAAAGGGCAAGAGATGGATGATATTCATGTGGTTGTGTTTAGAGAACACTTGAAAAAGTGGTGTTTGGTTGAAGTTGTACCAATTTCCACAAACTCAAGAGAAGAGCTAGAGATTGAATGTGCAGTGCAGTGGATGAATGAATGAAGGGCCTAAGCCATATTGCGGAGCGGGAGACACGGTCGTCGTCGGTACTCTTGCCTTGGCCCGCGCCCAGCCCATGCCATTGCCATTGCCAGCCGACAATCGCTTTCAATATTCGACTGTCGTTTCGATTTAGCCTTTCCACTTCCGCGTCCCACATTATTGCTTACAACTTATTACCTTTCACATTTTATGATGCATGACCCCTAGAAAAGAATATATATATATGACTAAATTATTACATCTAAATTATAGCGACCTTTTGTTGGGATGCGAACGATTTTCTATTGATCAGTTTGACTAAAAAAAAGGGAGACTTATACTATATAATGATGAAGAGACATTGTTAATCTGAACATAGTTCAATTGGTTAAAACGTATATAATTTTTCAATTATGATCTATTATTTTTTTAATAAAATAATTCGCACGTGGCATATATATGTTTGTGTTACTATTATGATCTAAAAGTGAGAGGATTAGAAATGATACAAATGTGATTGATAAAATTTGTAAATTTACCATTTTTATGTTTTAATAATGGCCTTGTATATAGTAGGTTTGAGATGTTTTTTTTTATAATTGTAACGAAAGAGTAAAGTTGAGGTAATACATCCCAAGACTCATCAACATGAACATAGCTTCGCGGTTAAGATATTTTTGTTTTTTTTTTTTTTCTTGAAATCAGAGATCCAAATCTCATGTATATTTGTGGTTAAAAAAAGAGATTCCAATTACTCAGGAAGACAATAATGAACCATTTTTTTGGGGCTAACTTACTAACTTGGTTTTTCTCCACTGCCATTTTTGCAAGAAGATGTACAACATCTTTCCGATACCTTTTTGTAAGGCTGAAACGAGGTAGGAAAAGGAACATGCAATCTTGTTTTTTACTTTGATACGCAAATCATATCATCTTCTAATATCGAAATATCATCGTTCGATTCTTTGCTTAATATGTTGCTTAATATGTTGAATATCTTAAAGAATAACATTGGAAGAAATAACATTGGAAATTTCAAGTATTATGTAAGAGGGAGAGAGAAGAAGTGATCACAAATTCATCTCAATTCTTCACAAAAGCTACAACTATACCTTTGTATAGAGCTGGTGTTGTGAAAAGAAGTACAAAACTAAAAAACAACGGTTCAAGAGCTTTAAGTAACAAACTTAATTAACTCACCTCGATAACTAATAACAATTTTGTGACTAACCATACACATCACTAGACCATCTTAATCACAAAAGCTCGAACTCAAGATCTTTTGTTTTAATTAAAATATTAAATTGACACTAGATCTAAAAATTTAAGGTGAGTGGTTACGATGTGTTTATTTATTTTTAATGCATATTGTTAGGAATGATTAACAATAAATAAATAAATAACAAAAGATGCAGACAAAAGAAGAAGCAAGACCCTAACACTACAAGAATTTCTAGCCCGTTCGATACTTTAAAATTCAAAGAAGACGTACAATGCTATAATAATTTTCAAGTAAAACTTTTGCTTTGGGGGGAGACCCCTCAAAGTCGAACACCAAACGACTTGACAACACATGAAATTAAAATGTGTGATTTTATAAAGTGATGTTGTTGGTTGGCTTGAAAGGACATGTCGTAATAGTAAATGGAAATTTGGCTTTTGTTCGTACTCTTAATAAAGTAGGGCTACGCAACCAAACCAATAAAGCTTGTCTCGTTTGCATTTGTTTGCCACAAGTTTTTAGCAAGTCCTGCAAAACAGTAATTCTATATATGCATTTCTCTCCCTCACTTCTAAAAAAAATTGTTTTTCAAATTAATTATAGTGTTTTCTAAGATTAATTTAGTGGGTATAATAATTATTTTTGTCGGGACGAGCATTGAATTGTTATCGCCTATCGGGGCGGGCCACGATAGGGATGGGGATGACTTCCTGTCTCAGCTCAATTCTGTAAAATTTTATGGAGATTGGGGCGGGGATTTCTCGAGAAACTCACGATCCTGAGAAGTATTATTTTCCATTTGCTTTTTTCTTTAAAAATTTTCAAATTAAAAGCTAATGATCAAGAAAATACTTTTGGTCCTTGTCCTTGCGTTAAAGTAACAATTTAGTCCATAAACTTTAGTTTGTAACGATTTAGTCAAATGCACTTTCAAATTGGTACAGTTTAGTCATTTAATTTTAACTTTAGTTTGTAATTTAAAATTTGTAACGATTTGGTTTAAATTGTTACACGATAGAATTTGATACTTCATTTTAACAAAAAATTTACAATAGAGATTAGATAATTATAAATTTTATATTATAGGGACTAAATCGTTACAAACTAAACTTTAGAGACTAAATCGTTACTTTAATGAAAGTACAAGAATTAAATCGTTACTTTAGTGAAAGTACAAGAACTAAATCGTTACAAATTAAAGTTTAGGAACTAAATCGTTATTTTAGTGAAAGTACAAGGACCGATGTTTTTTTTAACCAAAGTTAATTTTCTCAGATAAATCCTCATATGAATATTTAAATTTCTATTAAAAATTTTTAAAAGGATAATTATAGTATTGTATGTTGTTTTCTCTTAATTTAATCACAAATTTACCCTTTGTTTTATTTCATTTATTATAACCTAAAAATAGAAGGTTTCTATCTTTTAGATGATTTTTAATTTGGTCGTAATTTTTCAAAATTCTCAATGTTATCCCATATATTACATTAACAATTTTCAATTTCATCCATATGTAAAAATTTTGTAAATGAAAAGGGATGCATCACTAAATTAATTGTTATTTTATTAACAAATTTAATTTGAACATGTAAACATATATCATATTAATTGTTATTTTATTAACAAATTTAATTTGAGCATGTAGGGGTGGCAACATTAACATTATTACTGATTATAGTGAATCCAATCTCAAACATGCTCTTATTGAATACTACTTGACACATGAATTCAACCATCAATAATATATAGTAGTGTTTCTTCAAGTAGCATGTCACGTCGTTGAAATAGGTTAATAGAACAATAATTAAAATGACGATGCACATGCTTTCTATTAACATATTTTAACCGTATACGTTATTGAGAAATTCCTTTTATACACTAGGGATCTATGGATATATTTAGTCTTTATAATGTTCAACTAACAATTATAAAGTTCTTAATGCCAATAATATATAAAATTATATGGAAAAAAAAAAGAAAGAAAGAAAATATGACATGGCAAAGGGTCCGCGTGTCTATAAATACATATTGGTCGACCAATGAAATGCAAAATACGAGAATTGTCGTAAATGTGTGAATTTGATCTCATTTCTGCAAGTGGTGATGAAGCTGTTCGGTTTTTCAGTGACGGCTGGAGCTGGTGAGGGAAACGTGCGAGACGCGGCTGCGGCACGTGCGAACAAGGACGAGAAGAGATTTGAGTGCCAGTTCTGCGGCCGCGACTTCGCCAACTCCCAAGCCCTCGGCGGCCACCAAAACGCCCACAAGCGCGAGCGCCACCTCGCCAAACAACTCCGCTTCGACTCCAATAACCACCGCCGCCAACAAAACAAACACCCACGTTTTCTCTCCTCCACCCTCCCGCCCGCCGCCCCGCCGCCGCTCGCCGACGAAATGTACGGAGATAACGGCGTTGATCTCCACCTCACTTTGGCACCCTCCTCCGGGATCTTCTGTTAAAGCCGCAGCTCTAATATAGCTTTATTCAGTAAGATTTTTTTTTTTGCATAAAACAATTTTCTTTTGTTGGAATGGAATTAGTGTTTGGCTTGAGGAATGTTGTAAAAGTACTGTATTATTACTGGAAAATTGGGTTGCAAATTTCTTACCAATCAATCGATAACGTAGTACGATTGTATTAGTTTCTTTTATTAATTAATTTTTGTTTTCAACTTTAATTTCTCTATGTGTTTTAGAGATCATATTTTTAAACTGTGTTCAAGTAATTATGGATCTGCTGGAACCAATTAGGTTGATGTTCTTTTCCGCTCTCTCTTTCTCGAAGATATTGGTTCGGAAAATACCTTCTCTTTGTCGATAAGGATCAAATCTTGTATTTTACACCCTTAAAAAATTGACAACTCATTATTTACTAAGTTATAGATTTTAAAAGGAGGTGTAGTTTAATAAAATTAACAAACCAATAGTTATATAGATGAGAAAATTGGATCGATGCGTCTAACTATATACTTACAAACCTAATTAATTACTTAACTATTGAGCTATATGTTAAAAGTATATTGAATGTAATCCCTCCATTTAAATATTTGGATTTAGTACTGATTTCATATGATATATATCAAAGTTATGAGCTAAGTGCATTCCAACTTTTGTGATATATATTTTAAAAAATTTTTGAATTCAGTGATGAAATGATTAAGCCATAAATGCTTCCTAAAAGAGGACTCTAATATAGGCTTGCAAAATTGTGTATGGAAAAGATAAAACGTTGTGAAAAAGAGGTAAATAAAGAGGAAAGGAATATAAAAGAGAAAAATAGAAACCGAAGAAACATAAAGAGGGTCGTTGTTAAAACATATTTGGAAAATTAACCGTTTTTTAACAGTGTTTTTCACTTAATTTGTAACTTTTTTTTTACTAGTACAACAAATATTGGAGGCGAAGGTGCCAAATGTGCCAATCGTTGCCAAATTATATTGACTTTAATTTGTTCTCATAGATAATATTATGCATCTAATGCGGCTTGACGTGTTTCATAGTTTCGTATCTTGAAATTTTTTACCGTAGATAGTTGTATAATAATAACGGTAACCTTTTTTTTTTTCAGAGAACAATCAGATTCCTATTTCGAGATTCTTTTATATGTATATATATAAAAATATATTTTCATAATGTAAATGTAGGTTCTGTTCACATAGTGGCCTTGAAAACACTATTTACACAATAGTATTTCCACAGAGTACTATTCATTGGCACAGTTTAATATCCAAAGGTGAAGGGCCCTTGTACGTTATTTATAAGATAAAAAAGATGGGGAGAAATCAAATTTCTTGGAGGCAAATATTTATCAGCTAAAAATTTAATTATTGAAATGACTAAAATTTACAGTTACCTATACTTACCTCCAGCCAATAGTAATTATTGAAGATCAAATTTGTAGAAAGAAGATCTTTGTATGCTTTCCTAGCCTATACAATATTTTAATCTGTTATAAAAAAATAAAAAAAAATACATATCTCCGTATGTTATTAACTAGAAGAAATTGATTTTTAAAATTACAAGCACCCATAACAACGGATCATTGTAGGATAGTGAGCCTCTAAGTTCAGCTTCACTAGATGGAGAGACCATTCAAAACTTGAAAAGAAAAATGTTTAATAATATAATAAAATAATCGATATATATACACACACATATATTATTGTAATAATAATAAGTTGAACTGCTTATTCTAATTTTTTTTTTTAATTTTTAGGTTAAAGGAGAGAAATTGTAAGATTAATACACTCGGACCACTTTCTAGGTGGAAGTATTATCTTTTTAACACACTAGAGAGTCTTCTAACTTTGCTGTCTTAATTACTTCAAGTGAGCCATCAATATATTGTGTAAAAAAAAGAAAAGGAGCCATCATATATAAAATATTCCAAATAATTTTATAGTTATACGACCAAAAAAAATAATAAGAAAAAATAAAAGACCCTTGTTTCTAAAAATCGAGGGAATGGAAGATTGATATTATATAATTAACTTTGTGCAGTATAAGGATTGTTGATGCCTGGCTTATGTGATATGTTGCTGACTATATTTGACGTGGTTGATGTGACACGTATAATAAAACTTTGCACTAGTATGACGTTTAACCAAGTACACTCTAACGACACAAATGTTTATACTGATTCACCTAAGTATAGGCTATGTTCAGTCTTCTGCGATATGCAAGTTCTATTAGCATTGGAAATAGTATAATGGACATACAAAAACTTTTGACAGTCTCTCCTAAACGACATAGTAAAGATCTTCTAGCTAATTCTAAGCACTACAACAATACATACACTTATAAATACAATAATGAAAAACCTCACCAATTTGACTCAAGAACAAATTAATGACGATGCACTATAACTCGGGATCTCGATCCCTTATGCTCTGCCGATTTCTGCCGCTACCACTCTCCAAATTTATGCCACATAAAAGATCTAAACGAAAAAAGAGGCTTTTAAAGAAACTCGACGCAGTGTTGAGATATATTGCCCATAGCTTCTCAACGCTACGGGCATGTAGCGTCACTAAACTTTACATGCGTCTCAATCTTTTCTTCTTATTATGATAGTATTGAGATGCTATAACCCGCGTCTCAACGTTGTGCCTCAGTCCAAGCTTCTACGAGCCTCCCACTTTTCTTTTTCATTCTTGTTTCATACCTTCCTTGTTTTGGCTAAATCAAATTCCAGCATAAGTATCATCGTTGACCAATCAAATTATACAAAATTACACCTAAAATATTCCTCTTTCTTTTTCTTTGAACGAGGTATTTTTGGGTACACTTAATTATCAGCCTATTATTAGTAAAAATCTACTCCCAATCGAAGAACCAACAATTGAATTTTTGCTGTTTCTCTCTCTCTCTTTCCAGATGAATTCTATGACGTCCATATCAAGACTTCCCAAAATGGTACCCGAAATTGAAGGCTTCCCCTCCCTGCGCATGCAAATAATCCTCCTCTCTATTTGATTCTTCCTCCTATTTTCTTGCATTTTCAACAATGCAAAATTTCCATTCCATTATATCCCTCCACAAAACCACAGCTTCAACAGAATTCAAAATAATTAATTCTCTGTTTCTTATCCACCCCCACAGATCAAACGAGCGAAATAAAACAAAGTAAATTTCGTTTTCCTTCTCTCTCTCCTGGATTTCCGACGATGGCTACCGGAGGAAACAGAGAGAGAGGATCGGAGTTCAAATCGGCGTATATATGTAGCAGTGACAACTACGGGAATGAAATGAACGGCAGGAGCCAAGTAAATCAGCGGTTTCCGGCGGCGTGGAATAATACGCACGGCCATATGCACGGCGGTTCCTCGTTTTCCGGTGGATATGATGAGCCGGAGGCCAAGAGGCAGCGGCGGATCGCCAAGTACAAGGCCTACGCCGTCGAAAGCAAATTGAAATCGTCGTTTAGAAATGGGATTCGGTGGGTTAAGATCAAGTGTAATGACATTTTTCATCGTTGATATTTTATTGACAACGACGTTGAATTGTCATATTCGGGGTGCTCTGATCACGCTACCACCATTTATGTTTTGACACGTAGGAGAGAGAAATATAGGAAGAGAATTATTTTTCCTACTTTTTTAAAAGATTTAGCTGGTCAATTCTTAATGGTGGTTAGCAGAAAAAACACGTTGATACTTAAAAGCACTTAATTATTTTTCTTTAATTAATTAATTCTCAAATTTATAAATTAAATGTCTCTTTTTTTTTTAATCTAGAAACAAAATTTAGTTGCTTTTGATTCTTCTGCTTTTTAAACAAGTTTGATAACTTTTTTTTTTCATTTTAAAAAATTGGGCTTGTTTTTTTGCAAGTAGACTGTTTGATAATTTTATTGTTTTCAGTTTTTTTGTTTAAAAAATTATAGTTGTTTTTGTATGAGTTTATTTATAAGTTTTCCTAATTCTCTTAAAAATATGTTTGAATTTGTAGCTAAATTTCAAAAATAAAAATAATTTTTTTTAAAACTATATTTTTTTCAAATTTGACTTTTGCAGACGTTTGTAAAAATTATATAACAAAGCAAAAAAACATAGGGGTGAAAGTAATATTCTAAGCTTAATAATGAAATGGTTATTAAAAGGAGTCTCAATAATCTATTTTTCACTGTTTGTAAAAATAATTTGAATTCTTAATTAAATTTTAAAAATTTGTTTTTTAATTTATAAAAATTGAGCCTAAAATGAATAGGAATAATATTTATAAACTTTATTTTAAAAGCAAAATGGTTATTGAGTCGGCATAAATGACATCTATATTTCTTAAGGTGGGACACTTCCATTTCTCTAATTTATTGTATTAGAAAAATAAATCAGCTTTTAAAATCCTTAGTAAAGATTTACTTTGCGTCTATGATTTCTTCTTTCTGTAATGTTTATGAGTTTCCTATTTGATTTTTCCAACGTTGTAATAATTACTTGCCAGCATTACATGTCAGGCATTATGGTTTCTGAACTGAAACAACAATAACTGCCGATGCCTTTTGCCTATAGTTTATTTTAGTTGAAATCGCCTATAGTTTATTTTAGAGAAAGCCGTAAGCTGTTTAATTATGTAATATATATTAAGCTTTTTGATTGAAAATAAAGTTTCGATATATATAGAAGCCTCAATAAAGGTTATAGAAATATATTAATCGATGGATATTTCTCTAGAATTTAAAAAAATGGTAAAAAATATTTAAATTAATAAATAAATATTTTTTTATTTCTAAATAAATTAAAAATGATTAATATATATATATATATGTACGTGTGTGTGACATTTTGTTGATATTTTTCATATTTTATCGATTCTTTTTAATTAGTGGAAATGTCAATTTATTTTAGGTCGATATCGATCTCATAAATACATGGACATGTCGATGTGTCGAGGGACATTTAATATCGCGATTGAGAATACTAATTTTAATATATATATATATAGATACATACATACATACATATACATATTATTCTTTAGTACAACGATTTGGGGATACGAGGATTGAACCTCCAACCTCGAAGAAATTAGTATATGTCAATTGTCTTAAGCTATGCTCACGTTGGCTAGTATGTTTTTTTTATTAAAATAAATATTAATATTAACTTGTTGGAGTCATGTTTGGTCAAGGAGGGTCAGGTCACAAGTCCTCGCCTCTTTAGCAATGCAATGAACCAAAACTATTGAGATATCTTTTGAGGCTCGACTTAAATAATATATCAACAAATTCAAGAACCACTAATAAAGAGATAATTAAATTAATCAAGCCCATTTAAGAATGAGTGCAATCTTCGTGGTCTTTAGTTTCCACCGTTGAAATTGGAACCTTAAACTATTGTTAATAATTTTAGAAAATTAAAATCGAAGATGAAATCAAGTCATCGTATCACTTATGCTTTAGAGACATACATGCTACGATAATTGAGAGGCATATATGGTAATAATGTTTACTCTCATTAAGATATTGTAATAAGTACGCAATTCTCAATCTTAATATTCTTTCACCTCTAATTTATGAACTAGCAACAATTCCTTTCCAAATAGAAAATGTAAAGGATGTAAAATAGTCGAGTCGTGTTAATTTTCAGGTAGAAATAAATAATCCTTGGTTAAGTGAATAAGAAAAAGCGAACTCAACTGAACAACTAGTTTGGTTCAAGTCGGGTTGTTGCACCTCTAGTTAATATTATTCAATTTGAACATAATTCAACTATTTAAATGATATTTGAATTCTCATTCCACTTATTATTGAACTAAAAAATAATTATTAGATAAAATAAATGAGGACGAAGAAAATCCGTGACCCACGAAGTAGAAGGACGTGTGTGAAGCCGCCAAGTTAATTAAATGCAAAATTTGATCCTAAAATGGTGGATCCAATCAAGCACAACCTGAGCAACTGATTGAACTATAGCTTCAATAATTGGCTGCACACTCAATCTTCATTCATTCGCAAAATTAATTCCTACAATGCCAACTAGGTTTTGTATATTATATTATCACATCATAAATATTTCTTATTTCAAAATAATGAATTTACATCAAATAATTATAATATTGATTCATTTTACATCTGCTAATAAAATAAGATATTCTTTTAAGTACAATTTATTATAAAATTGAAATGTTATGAATGCATCAATAAATAAGTATATTGTAAAGAAAAATATGGATCCAAGTACCTAAGAAATAAAAAGACCTGTAAAAAATGCTGTAGAAACAAACACAAAACAAGAAAGATAACAACATAACTAAAATAGACAAACAGCAAAACATAACATATATCGAAATTGAAAAAAAAAACGACAAGAGAGATGTGGATTTATTTATATTTTCAAACTTTAATTTGATGTGATGTTTATGTTTTAATAAAATACTAAAGCTTTTAATTTGAACCTATTTTAATGAATAAGATATCATTTTTTTTAAATGGAAGGTTGGATCATGATTTTTTTTAGTACTACAATTATTGAATTAAATATGAAATAAAACACCCAAATTAATAACTTGAGTTTAGGTTAAAATTAATTATTATTTATTACAAGGTGAAATCAAAGATTTAAATATGAATTTTTCTTTTGAATTTATTTGTACAATAGGATTGTTTTACTTTCGCATTTCGCGATGCCAAGCAAAAGCAGGAGGGGATCTTAAGGCAGAGAAAGGTATAAATCTCACCCAAAGGTATGAAAAAAGTGTGTGCCTTCTAGTCCTTCAAACGACACGCAGCTCATTTAGGGATTTGTCTTATTCTCTTAAGCGTTTCGAAACTGCCACGTCACTAGTCCTAGAGACCGTTATCCGTCTGGGTGGGTGATTTTATCATTGCTTTGCACCACCAATCAATCGATTCCAGCGTTTTGAATTTGAAATCTCTCTCTTCGACCAAAACTCAAAAGAGACGTTATAAAATTCTTCCGATTCTTTAAAAATGAATAAATAAATAAATAACTTTTGAATTAATATTAAAAAAGGAAATTAGTTTTTTTGAAATTTCTAAAAAAATACAAAAACAACGTTCTCATTTTATCTAACTAATAACTCCGCAGACCCACTTCCTCTGTGCGTCTGTAGTAACAATTAAGAGAGCTTTCACCAGTTCTTTTCCTCTCCCTATCTCTCTCGACTCTCGCCGATTAGTCGCCATTTTTTCTGGCTTGCAAATCTTTGTGAATCACAATCGATAGAGGTGCATTTCTTGGAGAAGAAGAGATTGATTGCTGCCAGAAGAGCGCAACGCTTAGATGATCTAACTCTTTGTTTTTGTGTAAGTCTCGTCTCTGAAATCTATTGTTTAATTTTTGACTGTAGATTCTCATTGTTCGATTTCTGTAGTTCTGCTCTATTTTAGAGTAATTCTGTGAGCAAATACGAGAATCTAGAAGGCTTAGTCGATTGATTAGTTCGCTTTGCTGTTTTGCTTTAGTTTGTTGATGAGTTTCTATTTGTTTTCTGCGTTCCTTCTTCTGTCTTTAAAATTTTCTGACTGGTTAGGGTAGTGGAAGTTTAAAATGGTGAAATCGATGTTAGTTTCATCAATTTGGATTTAGAATTTGTGCAGTTTGTGGTTCGGTTGAAATGTTATCCTTGCGAGTAGATCGATCGATGCAATAGACAACAAGATTTTTTAGGAGAACGAAACAGATAGCAGCCAGTAGAAGAGCACAACGCTTAGCTAATCTTACTCAAATCTGTGTAAGTTATGGCTTTAAAATCTTCTTGATCTGTTATTGAATTTTAGAATCTCATTGTTGATTTGTTTTTATTCTGCTCTATTTTAGGTTAATTCTGTAAATCAAAACAAGAAACTAGAAGGCTTATTCAATTGATTCGCTCGTTTCGTTGTTTACCTTGAATTTGTCGGTGACTTTCTTTTCGTTTTATGCCTTCTTTCTTTTTCAACTGTTTATAGTTTTGGCTTTAAAATCTTCTTGATTAATTTTTAGATTTTAGAATCTAGTTGTTAGATTCCTGCAACTGTGTTTTAGGTTAATTATGTAAACAACAACAAGAAACCAGAAGGTTGATTCGCTCTTTTTGTTGTTGTTGTAGACTTTGAGTGTGTCGGTGACTACCTATTAGTTTTCGTTCATTAGTCTTTGAATTTTTCAGACTGTTTAGTTCCTTTGGAAAACGCAGGTAGTTGAAAGTTAAAATGATCAATTCGCTCGTTTTGTTGTTTACTTTGAGTTTATAGGTGAATTTCTATTCGTGTTTTTCGTTCCTTTCCCTTCTAATTTTAAAGACTCTTTAGTTCCTTTGAAAAACGTTGGGTGAAGAAGTTGAGAATGTTTAACTCGATGTTCCATCAATTTCGGACTATAATTAGTACATTTTGTGGTTTAGTTGAGATAACAATAGTCTATATCGATCTTCTTAGATAACAGGCATATTAAACTCCCGATTTATCTCATCTTTGACTTTGTTTTTGTTCGTTTGTTCGTGGAGAACTGAAAGGCGAAGCCTAACCAAATTCTCAATTCTGGATTGAGTGCAATTTTGTCAGTTGATGGACTAAATTGCAACGTTTCATTTTCTAATCAATTAAGAAATAAACGGCTTGCAGATGTTGATGGATTGGTGTACAGAACAGTCGAATATTATTTTCTATCTCGTTTTTTCCCTTCAAATGTGCTGAATTGACCTCCGTTTTCATATAAGAAAATGGGAGTCGAGAAAGAAAGTGTGAAGAGTGGAGGAAGTTATGTCGGGGGATTCTTCCAGTTGTTTGATTGGACTGCTAAATCACGAAAGAGATTGTTCTCTAGTAAACTGGACGTACAAGGTACAATATCCATTTTTCAAGTGTAGAGCATACAAAAAAGCTTTTCCTCTTGTTTGTGTTGTCACACTGTTATATATATATAGAGTGCCTCTGACCTACATTTGTGCTTTTTTCCTCAGAGCGTTCTAAACAAGGGAATAGAAGTGCTGGAAACTCCCCATTGACACAGGTTCATCTGGTGGGTGAAAAAATGCCATTTTCTTTTTGGTTTCTTTTCCATTTCTCTAGATTTATGATTGATTCCTTCTAACGCTTACAGATAGATTTGGATGAATGTGGACCAAGGCAAAGTATTAAAGGAAGCAGCGATTATAGTTGTTCTTCATCTGTTACGGAGGAAGATGGGTATGGAGTTAAGGTCCCCGGGGTAGTCGCTAGGCTTATGGGATTGGATTCCTTACCGTCATCCCATTTCTCAGAGCCCTACTTTACTCCATCATTTGATACTCAATCTCTTCAAGAAACTCGCGGCCATAGGGGAAGTTTCAATTATCGCCATGACTGCCAAATCATGTACTCCGGTAATTTGCTTGATCAGGCCGATGACCTTGCAGCCGCCCCTGCCAGGAAACCATCAGAACCAAAACCTCAGAAGACACTGAGCAGGCCAATAGAGAAGTTCCAAACAGAAATCCTCCCTCCTAGATCAGCGAAATCAATTCCAATTACTCACCATAAGCTTCTGTCCCCCATTAAGAGTCCCGCTTTCATTCCGAGTAAGAATGCTGCTCACATAATGGAAGCTGCTGCAAAAATAATAGATCCTGGACCTTCAGGAACTACCAAGAGTAAAATGTCGTTGATTGGATCTTCTTCAGCACCCTTGAAATTGCAAGCCCCAAAAGAAAAGGTAGATTTACCACAAAAATTGCCTCCAGTTAGGACCTCTCCAGTAAGCCTGAAGGTCAAAGAATTAAAAGAGAAAGCCGAAGCCTCCCATAAATCAACCAGGTTTCTTGAAACTTCTAGAAAGCCTTTTGAATCAAATGCTTCCAGGCTTTTGAAGGGTCAGTCCATGAACAAAAGCTGGGATGGATCTCAAGATGCTTCATTCAAGGTCTTACCTGATGTGGAATATAGTAGTTCCAAGAACAAAGGAAAATCCATATCACTCGCAATACAAGCAAAAGTTAATGTACAAAGAAGAGAAAATGTGAATACCAATAGCCATAGAAATTTTACAGGCCAGAAACAACAAACTGAAGTCAAGTCAAGCCAGCCCTTAAAGAGTCAGGCGGGAACTCAGAAGAATTTGCACGTGCCATCCTCTGCTTGCAATGCCTCCAGTAACCTGCCTCTCAAGCAGAATAACCAGAAACAAAATTGCCATGTTGATAGGGTAAAATTACCATCAAAGAACTCAACTTCCAACACGGAGCGCAAGAAACCGCTGACAGGCGACTCTTCTTTTGGACATCGAAGAAATGCAGGAAGAGTTGTCATGAGCTCCAAAACTGGCGTCAGGAAGTCAAGCTCAGAAACATCTGACAGGGAAAAGGAAGACTTGCATTCTAATGCAAAAAATCTTCCTAGGAAGAAGCGTTCACTAGACAGGGATCAACGCTTTGACAAGAAACAGGCCATGGATAACATGTCAGTACATTCAAATAATATCGTCGACAGATCTTCTAGTTTGGCACAAGATTGCAGAAAAAAAGGGACAGATGTTGTGTCTTTTACATTTACTGCACCACTTACAAGGAAGGTGCCTGGATCTGACACCTCTGCTGGGCACGTTGAATCAAATATTAACGGCCTTTGTACAGATTTCAGAGGTAAAATAGGGTCGCTTGGGCCAGATAGTTTGAAGTCATCCTCAATAGAGTGCAATTTTATTGGAGAAAATGCCTTGAGTGCACTTTTAGAGCAGAAGTTAAGAGAATTAATTGATAAGGTCGAGTCACCTAGCCTTGGATCCATCACTGGAGGATCTGAGAGTACTTGTTTATCGACTTCTGAACATCCTTCTTCACCCTCTCTTGATACACTCGATGCAATGTCAAAGTTGAACGAGAGGGACCAACACAGTTCTGCTCGCAGCAAGCTGGTTGGCCAATATAATTTTGATTATTCTTCTGCTGATTCTTCAACGCTAGGATTAAAGCATGAGTTCCAGGTATGTAAACTTTTTGAAAAGGAAAAAGAAACGTTTGTTAATTCCATTCATTGTTGTATGTTTCGCTAAATTTATGCATGCACTTTTTCTGGGTCAGATGTCATGTTTAGTTGGCTCTTATCAAAATGTCCATTAAAAAAGAAAACATTCATTTTTTCAGGTAGTTCCTGGGATTGATGAATGTAGCAGCAACAGTACTGATGCTGACGCTGGTCAGTTGCTCAATGTTCGACATCCCAGTCCCGTCTCTATTCTCGAACATTCCTTTTCATCAGAAAGCTGTGACTCATCAGATAGCAACAGCAGAGAAGGTAGATGATCTTGCTTCTATTCCAAGAATTTACTCCTTTGCTCACTACACATTCGAAGTTACAGAATCCAAATTCTATCAATTTACAGGTAACAAGTTATGTTCTTCAGTCCAAGGTCAAGATGTTATTGCCTTGGGTTTCTCAAAGTTCGATCCAGTTGGAGCTGATACAGAGTTGCTAGATTCTGCATCCTCCATAACCGACGAAACTCCAATGAGTAAGTTCACAGGTTCATCTCTCTCAAGAGGGTACATTGAGTGGGAACTAGAATATATAAAGGAAATACTCTGTGATGTGGAGTTGATGTTTAAGGACTATGCATTGGGGCGTTCCCACGACGTTATAAACCCATATCTATTCAACATTTTAGAGAATCAAAACCGAGGATCGCAAAGAAGTAGCGTTGAATATAGGCTTAAACGTAAGGCATTGTTCGATTGTGTGAGTGAATGTTTAGACTTGAGATGTAGACAATATGTGGGTGGAGGGTTTAGGATGTGGGAGAAAGGTGTGGGTGTTTTGAGAAGAAAGGAACAGTTATCCAAAGAGATTTGGAAGGAAATTTCAGGTTGGAAGGGCATGGGGGATTGTATGGTGGATGAGCTAGTAGATAACGACATGAGTTGCTGGCATGGAAGATGGCTGGATTTTGATACCGACGCTTTTGCCATTGGAGTTGAGGTCGAGAATCAAATTCTAGATTCTTTAGTTGAAGAAGTGCTTGCTGATATTGTGATGATTCCTTAAGGGGCCAAGGCCAACCATATTTTCCAGGTATTCTTTCCCTCCAAATTAAATGATTGTATCTTCTTGAAATGTTTGAGCTTGGAATTCAAAATTCTTGTTATAATCATTACCATTCAAGTTGTTGCTCAACTCTTTAACACGTGCACAATAGGATTTTCCTGTCCCATTGACCTGCCTTTGTACTTATCCAGCAATTTTCATGTTAGGAAGTATCTAGTTCTGAAAAATTATTGAGATGCACATGGTTTTTTTTTTTTGTTTTTTTTTTTTTTTGGCTTCTGGGTCTGCATATTAAATTGTCCACCATAGAAGGACACTGGTCAATTTCAAGGAGAAAACAAAACTCCTGTTGTGTTTTCTTCTTTCAGTACAGAACTGACCTTATTACAGTAAAACTCTAGCTGAGCTCCCATGGATGTATCTAAATACAGGCTGCTTCACAGAGAGACAGAGAGAGAGAACCAACCTATAGACATAAAAAAATTTGACCAATTTTTCAACGGAATTCTTATGTTTCTCCATTGCTATTAGCCCAAAACCAAGATGGCTCTTTGAAATTCTCCCATACATTCTGACCTAAAACTCCATCGTCATCCCAGTCCCAATTGAGCCATTCATTATCCAAGTTGGAATTGATTGATGAATGAGCAGCAGAGTACCACTCCCCACTCTCTACGTTTGAGCTCCAAACACTGCTTTCTCTCTCCTCGCTTCCTTTTCCTCTCTCATCAATTGTATCCATCAACAACCCATTAATCAATTCCTCGCCTGACCCCAGTTCCCAATTTTCTTCCTCTATCTTTGGATCCTTTCCAATAATTTTACTGCTTTCTCTCTCGCTCTCCTCGTCCCTTTTACTGGGTTCCTTTTCTGGTGCACCCTCCAAACGAGACGGGCCCTCAAGTGTACTACTGGCCTGTTCTTGTTTAGCTTCTGGGGCCTCGGGTATTGAAGTGGTAGCGAGGGAACTTTCGAGTGGTGTATTGTTCTTCTTCTTGTTCTTCTTCAACATGGTTGATTTGTTTGGTCGACCACGGCTGCTTCTCTTGGCTGCAAGGCCAGTCATTTCGGGGGCATCTTTTTCGGCGGTGCTGTAGATTTTCTTGCTCAGATGAGAATTCCAGTAGTTTTTTATTTCGTTATCTGTTCGTCCAGGTAAATGTCCAGCAATCAAGGACCACCTACAACAATACAGAATTATGCATCAGCCCAAAAAACTGAGGCCACGTTTTTTTTTTATTTTTAATTTAAGAAATGAAGAATTATAGACATTTGGTAAACAGATTTGGGTTTTTTATCTTGGAAAACAAAAGGCTAGAAAATTTGTTTTCGGTTTTATGTTTTTTAAAGAAATAGAACGAGACAAAAGTGAGATTGATTGATAAGTTAGAGGGAAAGAAAAGTTATAGAGAGACTTTTTCTTAATTTTGGGGAAGAAAAGTCAAAATATGGAAGAGAAATTTGAAAGAAAGATGGGAGGGATAAAAGACGGAAATTTTAGAGGGAGAAGTTAGAGAAAGATAAATGTTAGAGAGGTAAGTTGGTGGGGAAAAAAATTTTAGAAAGAGAAAAATGAACAGGAAAATAAGTTGAAAGAGAGATATATTATTGACTTTTGGTAAAGTATAACATAATATGAGTAAATAAAAAAGACAAAAACAAATTGAAACTGTAAATATCAAAAGAAAAGTTTTGAGAGTAATAAAAAAAAACTGAACTGTGGGTCTCCTCGAAAAAAAAAAGGAAAAAAAACCATACAGGGAATTTAAAATAGATCTTCTAAATTTATCAAAAGAGGCCGAACTGCATTTCCTCCAAATTTTGACACAATTCTATGTTTTCTCAATAGCTCAAGTTTCATTATCTGGATCATATAGGAAATCTAAAAATAATAAATCATCTAACTGCAACAATAATCACCAGTTGTGTGATTAAGATTGTCCAATCAAAATTACAATAAAATAGTGAATAATTATGAAATAAAATATACAGCGGCAGCCAGCTTACTATTAAGTCTATGACTTCTAGATGATTAAAGTTAGCTAACAAATTAATTTAAGTGGCCCATTGTTCTTTAACTAGCTGGCAGCTGGCATCCATGAATGCAGCAGTGAGCTAAGCACTAAATGGCCACATGTGTGAAAAATTGGAATAATAGTAAAAAAAAAAAAAAAAAAAATCTAAAGAAAATATCTATACTGGACTTTTTTTTCGTTGCAAAGAAAGAAGAATTAATAATTACTAAAAGAGAAAAGTTATCTCATCGGATAAATATTAAAATTAAAATATGAAAATCTGTAATGACGTTTTACTTATTTGAAGGAGGACGATAAGACACGTAAGTCGTGAGAGCATGAAAGCGATGCCTCCTTTCTAGCTTTAGGCCCGTGAGCCCAACAGAAAGGGCAAAATGAATGGCACTATATGGTAAATGTGTTACACGTGGTCGTGGATTTTCATAAATAATAATATTATCTTTGTTTAAATATTATCTTGATTCATTACGTTCAATTTGTTTTCCTATTTTTTGTTTCATTTCAGTTTTTAACTTTTAAAATGTTAGTTTTGTTTCCAGTATTTTAAAAAGTAACTAATTTACTCTATATATACAACATTTTAACACAATTTTATTTTCAAAAAATTATTTGATATAAATTTATAGCTATATTTCAAAAAATTTAAGAAATAAAATATTTTGTCAAAATTATGATTGGAAAAACAAAGAGAAAAAAATAACAATAAATTAACCAAATGATAACTTTTTTTAGAATACAAAGACTAAAATAGAAGTTTTTAAAATAAATGAAAAAAATAAAAAAAATAAAAGCAGGTAGATAAAAAAAGACCTTGACTAAAATGAACAAAAATAGAAATTACCAAAATATTACTTAGATCTACTATTTTTATTAATAATATTCGACTTCTATTTATGAAAGTTTTGAAAAGTTATAAGATGACACTAATGAATTGACAACCAGATTGAAGCAGCTAGCCAAGGAGGAACAAAATGAAGTAGCCACATCCAATATTTTCTTCTCTCCACATGTAAATTGAAGAATACTCGTTTCTCAAAAAGAATGCAATATCTGAAGAAAAAAAAAAGTATACTCGTTTTTTATTCAAAGAACTATAAATTTATTGGAATGTTAACTTTCCGTGTACCTGATAATTTTAGGCCTTTGAATTACAGTTTTGTTAAAATAATTTGGATTTTGAATTTTGTTTAAGAATAAAATGTCTAAACGCCTTAAAAAATGTTAACTTATTGTCCTCATTAATTTTTTACTTTGGAATTCCTTTCAATTTTTTGTTTTTTTTTTCCCTCATTTCAAGGTTTTAGGATGAATTTCATGTTATCATTCTTAATCGTATTTCTTCAAAGTTCATAAGAATATGCTACCATGTATACGATAAATAATTCATAATTATATTCTATAAAACAATATAAAGTTATTTAAAAAATGTTCCAAACAACTTTATCATTTGTCTTGTTAATTTTGACTAAAATTCTTTAGTACACAATTTGTTATATGTATTAAGCATGAATCGAATATATGATTTATTATCTAGCTCAATTTTTATACTCGGAAAAAGAATGGAAAACCGTGCCAGAAAATGATTATGATGATTGAGAAGAGAACGATGCAGACAAGACCAACAAAGCAGAAGCCAGTTGTAAAAGCTTCAAATGAAATCACAAAATAACAGAAAAAAAATCAGAAAACCACAAAATAAGAGACGAAAAGATCAGAAAATCACAAGAGGAGGAGAAAAAAAAAAGTTCGAATGTGCCAAAAAT